CGCCAGCCATTGTTTATTGTTAACCCGCATTTCCTTCCCACCCGCAACATTCCTTTAGAGCAAAAGAGCCAATCACAATCAACTGCTCAACAGCCTGAACCAGGGCCACTGTGAGGGCCACCCGAGCTTGGGCCTGGGGACGAGGATGTGATCAGTCGGATTTTTCAAGGTATGAGAAAATTAAAGCTAAAAGTTTTCATACATACATGGCATAAAATATAAAACTGAACACAAAAGTGTGAAGAACCTCTTCGAATTCCATTTCTTCATCTAAATATAAGAGAACGAAAGTAGGAAGAAACATTTGATACTATTTTATCAACAGAAATGACAAATACTGTGAAGGTTGCCGATCTGAGGGAAATCCCCGCAGCGAATTATGCAAATAATTTAACTATTCAAACGTCAAGAAATGTTAACAAAAAAATTTGGTATTTCCCTTCAAAAAACATTACTCAGCAACTTCTTTACCCGTTGAAAATACTGAGTTACATTGAACAATTCACTAAGTTACTAGCACATGAATATTAGTGACTTTAATTCGTGATACCGTAGAGATTTTTATACAAAATGGGCTTTGAAATATGATACGCAATACTTGATATGCATGAGGCAATATTTTCAAAATATTACCTGGTCATGAGATACCAAAATATTAGTATACAAGTAGTTTACATTATATACAAGTAGTTCTATTAAATCAGAAACACCAGGTACTTGGTCCTTCAGTGTCTCAAGTAACCCTGTTATCAGTGAATAATAAACAAATCTTACAGACGTTACAGTGTTGCAAGATTCACAAGCCACATGAAGTTGAATTTTGTCGCGTTCCCAGCCAAAAGGTCGTCTGAGTGAGGCATGTTATTTTAGCAAGATGTTTCTAATACATAAATCAGTGACCGTATCGCCTCCCCACGCATATACAAATATAACAGTCAATATATTGTATTATAACTGTAAGAGAAACAATCTTATAAATACATATTTCAAATACTATAAATATTGCCATAGACGAGGCAAACTATCATTTTTTTAAAATAGTCTCAATTATTAAATTTGCGGGTTAATAAAGGAAAGATAAAAGTAAAAACTAACCTTCATTCCCAATGTCTCTTGTAGTAATCAGTAATGTTTATTTTAACAGAGAGCGTGTTTTTAACAGTCTTTTCTCTATTTCACGGTTTGTGGTGTGGCCGGGAAACACCATCGCATGATTGATGGCATTCAGAAAATGTGCAAGCTGTCAATATACACGCTTCCGGGACAGAGCTTCCGGAAAGTACGTCACTTTGGCTATAAAGCCTCGTTTTCGTGATTGAGACGAGGCCTTTAACTGATGTCAGATACATGAAAACGAGGCTCTATAGCCAAAGTGACGTACTTTCCGGAATGGTGTATTACATCGGCATTCTGATTCACTGTAGTCTGCGTGGCAGGCCCTCAGTTTTATGGGGGGCCTAATATGCAAAAACTGAGGGCCTGCCACACAGGCTAGATTCACTGTGACGTCACTGTGACATTGCATTTTTGCACATCCTCGTACCCAGGGTATTTTATATACTATTTAAAACCAGCTTAGTCCCTAGGCCTCTTAGTTCGCCTATTGCGCGTTTCTGCATATTAATGAGGTGACGGCTAGTTTCGCTCGGTGACGTCATGGAAATCAAAAGCATGCACAGAGGACTTGGGACTAGTCTGATTTAAAACACGAGTAGGAGTCAATCTCGTTCCCCGAGCCTGCGATTCTCGGGAAGGTGCGTGAGGCTCTGGGATGATCCGTTGCCGGTGTGACGAGAAATTCCTGACTTGCGAAATATCTGACTATTGTAGAACTTCCCACGCACAGACCACAGAATAGATACAGGACCAGAAGTGTCACTCAGACGATATTTTGTCCGAAATTTTACGAGTGCTGACGTGAAAATACGCCATCATATGACGCCATCCTGGAGTGCACACGGAAGTTTTTCATAGGAAAACGTAGGTACAAAGTGCCGGGTGCACTCCAGGATGGCGTCATACCACGCAAAAAAATTTCGGACGTTTTCCTTCAGCCAAAACAAATACGAGTGACACTTCTGTTCCGGTATCTATTCTGTGATCCTATGATCGGTAACTACCACACACAAGTAATAGTAACAGTTCCGTATATAAGTACGTTACAGTTGCCTGGTGTGGTGCATGTGGGATGCTTTAGGTCGGTGTTTACCAAACCTTTGAAACAAACGCATGCGCGATAACTTGACACTCCGATAAACCACGGGTGGGCATCATCCAATCAGGACGCAGGAAAATTTCGCACTGGTCCCGCGAGTTCGAGACACGCGCGAGACGGCTCAAAAATTTCAAAAAATTATTTGTTTTCAAACAAATTCAGTGAAAATATATATTATTCACATGTATTTGCTTGTCGAAGGTTAAAATTTAAAGATTTTGCCGATAAGGCTACATATCGACTGGAAAAGATGAAGGCGAAGTGAAATCTACACCGTCCAAGCAAGAGGTCGCTCTGCCGTTGGTTTCTACTTGTAATTCTAGTACTGGCATAACCTGAGCATCAGGCCATACTTTTTAGGGCACAGGCACGCCTGATCGTGGGCGAAGGGGAGAAAAGTACTGGCACGATTCACACGAAAGGAGGTCGGCTATATTGCGAGTCTGCGAGTTGCGAGTCTGCGAGTTGCGAGTCTGCGAGTTGCGAGTCTGCGAGTTCACGGTGTGGATTTATTGCCTCGAAAACGCTCACTTAAGTGTAATTTTGTGTGCTTTGACGAATTGATCTTATATTTTATACTTTGACAGACAGACTCGTTTCGCTTTTTCGAATTTCTCAAATTTTGGCGGGAAAATGACGTCATCGTTTTGGCGCCAATATTT